TCTTTAAGCATCAGAGAAAGCAATTTCAGGAAATATTAAAAGTATTTACGTTTATTTCATTTGAAAAATTGACAACCGATTATTCTTGGGTTTATTTCACATTAGACACAAGTTATAATCGAACAAGATCAACCATTAAATAATCTACGCTAACTTCAGTTAGTATAACTCCTTGTTTATTTATTTTAAACGTAAACTATTAATAATTATATTTATCTTGATCCCTATGTCCATGCTGTGAAGGGTACAAGTGAGTTCACTTAAAACGCTTACAAACGCTTCTCATCAAATTAAGTTTAAGAATAGATGCGATCTGCCCACTCAACAAGAAAAACTGCAATTTTCGGTCGGTTATGTATATATATATATATATATATATGGATATATATCAGATATTGACTTGACATTTGACGCGCAAATATCAAAGTATCTTAAAACTTAATTACGATGTTTTAGCTGATGTTGCCATTAATTGTTGTCTCTTAGAGAAGTTTTGATATGCTCGCGTTCCTTCTATTTACGTTCGGCACAATTTGTTTATCTATAAAACTTGAATTGACAATCAAAGTTGATCGACTATGCTTTGTAAAATGGTAGTGTTGTACCGTTAAAAACCAGCACAATCGTCAAAGATCTTTCTCTCGTTTTAGGCTCCGGACGACGATAGAGAAAGTGTAGCGCGGGCGTATTGTGTGACGAGATTTATGGAATTTTTCTAACTTCTGTCTATGCAATGGGATTTTTTGTTTTTTTTTCGCTTAGATCAAAGCTTTGCTTTCATAAAAACTTTTTTGCAAATAAAACAATTTATTCTGTGTGTTTATAAAATAAAAAAAAAAAAAATTTTTTTTTCGTGTTTTCTAAACAAAAAGCAATAATAAGAAAAATTCGCATACATCACTTCAACAGAATTTTCCAATACAATCGATTTAGTTTTAGTTTCATTTATTTTCATTTTATGATTTGTTAACATTTTATTATAATAACGGTAATGATGATTATGATGATGTCGGGAATTCAGTTTCGTTTCTATCTTTTTCGAATGTTTGATTTAGTTGTTGTTATGGTTGTTATTAATTTATACTCATCTGACATGAAACGATATAAACGTACATATACACACACACACACACACACGCGCGCACACACAAATCGTTTGGTTGTTGCTCGTTCAGTTACGTTCCAGGCTTAGTTTACTTTAGCTCTTTTCTCTTGTTATTAATCTTGTTGTTGTTGTTGTTGTTATTATTATTATTATTATTGTTGTTGTTGCTGCTGCTTTTGCTTTTTTTCTTTTCCTTCTACATTCTCCCTGTGTTTCTTCCAAGTTTCTTTGAACTTAACCATGGTCTGCTTGCTTGCACTACCACTGCGCAAGGTGTGTGCGTGCCTGAGATACACTTTTTATGTGTATTTATCTCTCAAATTGTGCTAATTGCTTCTTTTTTGTTTGTTTGTTTGTTTGTTTGTTTATTTGTGTGTGTTTTTTTTTTGTGTGTATTCTCTCTCTATGCGTCTTTTTAGATGAAAACGTGTTCATTGATTGTTGGACTTTTGTCAATGCGGTTCAAGCGTGAAACTTGATTTTTGTTATATGTTTGTCGAAAAGATTAAAGTTCATTGAAATTTGTGTTCAATCCATGATAATCAAAATGCTCGCCATGCACACACATATTACTATTAAGAGGATTTCATTTATGTTTAAATTAATTTTGACACTCATTTCAAAAGAGGGATTTATCTTCGGAAAGCCATTGTAAACAAAAGTATATATTAATAGACATGAACGGATTTTCAGCTTTGCTTAATGATTTCGTCTTGCGTAAGTGTTTCGACTCTATTCGCCTAACTAGGTTAAATACGACAAATATTCGTAGGCTACAAATTTCAAAAAACCAAAGGATGTGCTCCTGTAAATAGTGCTCGAACTAAACGGTACCTATACAATGTGATCCTTTAAGAAAAACACAAGCGTTGAATAAATTATGGACATCTGCTTGTGCTGCTTTGTGCGATGAAGGACGATATATACTACAGCGCTTGTGACTGATTTTGTGAAAAGCTTTCTGATGCTTCGTATGTGAAAGGTGTTAATAGATTCCGTAAGAGATCAAAGAGTCATATGATATTTAATAAGATCTTTGTTCCGGCCGTAGTAATCGCCTAAGCTATTGCCAACGCTTTCATTCCCCCAAAGGTAAAGAGGATTCTCAGTTAATTTAATCGCAATCCTCTCTTTAATTGATTATTGGTGTGATATTATTTGTGCTTCTACAACTGCTGAAAAGCGTTAGGAAATGTTCCACAGCATTGTGAGCATATTTTTGAAGAAGCTATTACCTAAAACAATTTCTATATTCAGTTATATGAACAGATCTTCCTCCATGACTCATTGTAGATTGAAACTGAATTTCGTAAAACATAGGCGTATGAGGCAGAATTAGATTAGAAATTTCGATGCTTCTGAAGGTAACAAAAAAGATTAAGAGAGAAGTCTATCGAAAGAGGTAGCGGGACGTCGGCTCGCCTAATGAGCAACTGTACCCTATGAAGCAATCTTGAGCATCCCGCTCCGCAACAATAAGAACTAAGTAACCCTTTGGATTTTGGGCGGGAATATAGGTTTACTGTATTCTCATCCTAGGCGATTCGAGAAAATTTTAAGTTGAATTTATTTTTATATCATAGCAGTTCTAAAGGAAATTTATTCTTTATTTTCTACGAAACATCATTCTGATTTCGTGATGGCTTATTTAGAAATCAAGTAAATAATATAAGAAAATATTTCTAAGCACGGTAAAGTTACGTTTTGATACTTGTAGGGGAGCTGTAGAAGCTTATAAAAATGCCTGCGGTATGAAAATGATATCACGCTGTTTTTATCTTCCAATGTAATCATTTCCTTCATACATATCTCTTTTTTCCATCTTACGACAAAAGGGGATGAGAAACTGTATTCAAACGTCCGAATTAATTTGTTTCGATATATCATTGTGTACAACGAATATGTACCTCATGATTCGTCCTTGTCGGATTTCCTCATAAAATATTATCATTATGAATGTGTGTCATAATAATGTCTTCTCGAAGATATTTTTGTTATTTTTGTCATGCCAAGTAGTTTTATTACAAACTAATTTCATATTACAACATACTCTGTGATTGACGAGTATACGGGCGTATCGATAAAGAGGTCGACACATTTAATAGGTTAAATTGCAGTATCCGCACGGAGTGTAATGTAAATTTTTCTTACTAAAGATAGTGGAAAATAAATCACTTCCTTTCTTTTCAATCATTAGGTATTGAAAGAAGCAATACGCGTTTCGCAAGCATCACTCTTTCATGAAGATGTCTAAAGATGATAGATATAAAAGATGCCATAAGTGGATTTAAGATGATTATAATTTAAAAAACCATCTGCCATTTCTTAAGAGCTTCAATTAAAGCTTAATTCGCATTCTCTAGCAAATGCACGGTCGTTACGTTTCAAAGGCGATGTATAAGTTAGTTTCAGGGCTATATTTACTTGAGAATTCGTTCGTTTTGAAATGGTTTACGCAAACATTTGAAATTCCCTACTTTCACTGTATTTTTAGTAGCAACTTGCTAGCTATGCTCGATATTTTTCAAAAGATAGAAACCAAGTTCATTAAAGATTTATTTAGTTTTCATATAAAATTCCAAATTAAAATAATATTAGAAGATTTAAGAGGTAAATTTAGAGATTTTAGAAACGCAATATAGATGACACATGGATTATATCGTAAGCCGAGTAAGCATAAAATGAAGAAGAGTCTGTTCAATTAAAATTGTTTTTTATAATCCATTTATCGAAATGTCAACAATTGAGTCATTTCTTGTATGTATTTGTTTTGTATTAGATGGCGGCTATATTATGTTCCCTAATACTTCCGTCTTAGGGTGAGTATACTTTTCTTAATAAAATTTTCGTATTCGCGAAAGATGGTAACACGGTTTATTGAAATTTACGAATTTTTTATTTACTCACTTTCTTACCAAAATCATTTTTAATTCTCAATTCGAGACTCTCTTTAGCGTTTTTACTCTCTTTACTTATTTATAGTCATCGTTTCGTTCGTTTTCTTTCGTTTAACTTACTCTAGACTCTTATAGCTAATCTCATTGTGTTCCTTGCAGCTGCGATTATTGAAGAACAAAGTGAAATAAGGACACTGCGTTTCGGTTACAAATGACATAAGTAGTTTATAAATATACGTGTGTGTACTTTTTCTACTTTGCTGATGTTATTATTTATTATTCGTTGAGATTGCTGCGATATATATATATATATTTTTTTTTATCTGTACATTTTAGATCTCGATTATGTTTATAGATTAATCATATGAGGCTATTATTAATTATTTAATAACTATTTTAAATGAATTTTTATTTCTTAAAATTTTCGTTTATTTTTCATTAGGCCCTAATTACTCCACCCAAATATTTCGCTGCATGCACATAGGTGTACAGATAATGAAAAGGATGCCATATTTTTATCAAATATCGTGCTTTCCCTCGCTCTCTCTCTCTCTCTCTCTCTTTCTCACACTCACTCACTCTCTCTCTCTCTCTCTCCCTCTTTTTCTATCTCTTTCTGAATGTCTACAATAATTCGCTGGATAAATTCTTCAAGGCATGTAAATGCATGCAACGCAATTACATATGTTGATTAGTCTATAGGTTATGCTATATTATATTTTAAGATGTGTGTGCGCACACATAGATACAATGAACACTTTGAAATTGCCGGTTATTAAACTACGGCGTCATCACCTGAATTTTACGCATTTTAGTGTATACATAGGGAATGCATAGTTGATGCCAAAGCATAATTGGGTCACATATTGTTCAACATAGAAATTGTGTGGTTGATTATAGCACAAAATGAATTCAGTGAGTTGCACTGACAACACTTTACTTAAAAGGAAAAAAAAAAAACTCTCTATGCGGTTATATAAAAAAAAAAAAAAACTTACTATATGTAGTTGGACTTTTTGTTTTCGGTACACAATCAACAGTGAGTAAAGAATGCATCTTTTCAATTACTCTGTCATGTTTACCTAAAAAAAAAAAAAAGAAAAAGAAAAGAATAAGATGAAAGCATATAAAAAAATAAAAGCGAGAAATTTGTAATTAAAATATTCAATTTTAAGAGGATTACGATTAAATTACTTAATAATAAGGCAAGTAATGTAAAGTACTTATGGTTGCTCAATAGTAAGAGTTTGCTTATGATTACTGAAAAAAAATTCAAATGGATTCAACTGAAAACACATTTTTAGTATTATCATCATTACTCTTGTTATTTTTCGTCAGGAACTAAAAACAAAAACAAATCTGGAAAACAATGAATTTGATTAAGGTATAATACCACTTTGCAATTTCTTATTTATATGATTTTATCTTTTTAAGGGCTATAAATATACTTTTATATTTTACACTTTACACTATTGGCCGGAACATCCGTGCTTTTTTTATGCTCAGATGTCATTGCTCTCTTTCTGCAAGTATAGGATAATTATATCTAGTAAATTCCTACAGAGAGAACAACTGTTATATAATCGTTACCCTTGACAACTGATTAACATATAAGCGCAGGGGACAAAAAATAGGCTACCGATCCATAAACGTCAGCGAGAAAAGGCTGATTTACAGCCTAACGATCGGTAAGCATCGGGCACAAAAACCCGATCAATAGGTTATCGGTCAGTAAATTGTCAATATTGCCCACTGGAGAAAGTTGCTTTCTGAGAGGTATTCATGATATGTTTGATCAAAAAATAACGATAATTTTCAAATCGTTCACTAATTATCGTGGGAATTAGATGGTTAATTAAGCAATCAACGAAGGAATTGGAATTTGCTCTAAGTCCTTTTGAAATTTGCAACATGTCTTAAAAGATCACAACACCTTTATCATCGCGAGCACGTAGGGCTCCCTACTACTTTTTCGTATCGACTAAATTGGAAATGATTCATAAAATAAAAAGGGAAAAAATCGAGTTTCAGGAGCAAGCGCGAGCCGGCAAACAAAGGAACTTCATATCAGTGTTTGTAAAAATTAGCAAAATTTTAAATTTAAACTAAAAAAATCAACAATTCGCTGATTAATATTTCGGTTTATTACACGATAGGTCTTTAGCATGAGCGACTGCTAATAAGTGCTGCCAAACTAAGACATTTCATGTTAAGAATTTTCCATAAGCAAAAGGATTGAATATCAGTGATATGACCAGCGATCAACGAAAGAAAAAGAAAGCATTTCAAGCGATCAGCGATGGTCAGGAAAGCGTATAGTTATGGAAGGATCAAAAACTTGCATATTATTTCTGTTACGTTTAACTTGGAAGTGGCAACATCCGGAATGGATGAAAAGATCATTGCTGTTGAGTTACTCTGCCCACTAATCTACTAATAGCGATAGTTTTTCCATAGCAGCCGTAGTTGAAATAATCTCTTACGGGTCGTCTCACCTTTTTATCCATAGGCATATAAACGATTAGACGAAAACTTAGCAAAGAAATTTGAAAAATCAACTTTACAAACTCGTGTCACGGGTATGACACTCAACAAGGTGTATAATTTATGGTCCAAAAGATTGCACAAGACAATCTTAGCAACCTATTGGTAATGGCATGTTTTAAATTTTGTTTGTAGACCGCTTAGCTTCTAGTCAATGCAGTAGGTAGTAATAGTAGCAGCAGTAATAGTGTGAAGGTGGTGTTGTTTTTTTCATGATATTATTAGGTCAAACATCCTTTTCCTTGTTGAACAGTACATGTCGTTACGAGACAAACGCGCACTTCCAAATACTATTTCAAAAGTCTTTGAACTCCGCTTAATGAGGTCATTTCACTTTTTCTTTAGCAATCCTTCGATACACTTAAGCAAATTTTTCTTATTGTTTATGTTTTGCTATGTTTATGCTCTTTGTTGCTTGTGTCGTTATCTAAAATCAGAATAATTCCACAAGAAACACAAATAAAACCCATAAACATTATTTAAAAAAAAAACAAAAAAAAAATCTCGAATTATTATAACTAATTAAATGTGAAGGCAACATTCGTTAAAAATAACATCATTTGAGAATGAAATTAAATCATGTGTGTGTGTGTGTGTATGCGAGTATTTTAATGGATATAAACATTGAATAGTGTACGTAATGAAGAAAACAGATGTAACACACTGACAATCACAAAAATTTATTTGAAATTATTACAAGAGACAGCGTTGATACATATAAACTAACATATCTAAAAGCACGCGCGAATCCGCATAGCATATGACATACATTACGAAAACATAATTAACATGAGTTGAGTATTTGAGTAACAAACAAACATAAGAAAAATTGCTATAAACAAAAAGAAAAAGAAATAAACTTTAAGCATTAATTATGAAAAATCTCTAACTGTGCATACAATGTTTGTGTACATATGCGGAGACAACTGCAACAAACTGTAATTACAATAAAACAGGATGTGCGGCTCAGTGAAGAATTGGTGCATCTGCTCGAAAGAAAAGAACAGAATTGAATGAATGAACAAGCAAAATGTATGAATGGACGAAAAGGACTCAGAAGAAATTTATAATTAAAAAAAAAAAAAAAAAAAAAAAAAAAGGAAAACACAATCCAAAAACAAAGCGAAAAATAAAGCAGAGGAAGACAAAAGAGTTATAAAAACAATGTATTAACACAATTCCAACAAAAATAGAAAGGAAGTGTGAAATTTTTTCAGATTTCAATTGGTTAATGGCGTAAAGAAGGTTTTCTCATCTTAATGCTTGTCGAAGGTACAACTCTTGCCGTCCTTTGGTCCAACACAAGCATCGACGTTTTATACTTTTTAGTGCATTTTTAATAGAAAATTTAAAAAAAAAAAACGCAGAGAAAATTCGAAATTCCCCACTTTATCACACCTGCAAAATGATCAAGATTGAACGTCACACCAGTTGGTGACTTATCAAGGGTATTTCAACACTGCTTTGTACATTATTTTTATAGCAACAATGGCTATATACACAAAATAGTCCTTTCAAATATTGTTGCTTTGTTCAACACAGCAGCACTTCTGCTTACATTTTTTAACTTAGCAGTATTTATGCTTATACATTTCCACGCAGGTCCCCCGTGCGTTTACTTTTATCATTATGAACTCCTTTTTTGGTAGATTTACTAGTTTTTTTTAAAAGGTAAAAAATTCGCGCAAACAATGTGAATCAATGTGAACTGACATGGACCATGTTTAGCAAAGGCAATTTTGCCGTCAAAAAAATTTGCCAGACTTTAGCACAGTTTTCATCATAAGATTCTTCATGAGAATCCTTATATGAGATAGGGGCCAAGAAATGGATTTATGTGGTTCAAACTCATAAAGTGGTTAGATTATTATTTTTTTCCCATATTCACTTTGTAAGCCCAAACAATGCGTTTCACCGATTTCTATCAATTTGTCAAAAAATTTAACACATTTTTCTCACATCACGAATATTGATTTCCATGTAGGGCGTTATGCAGGAACTGTTTATAACAGTGACTCGATGCAATCCGTATTCAATAGCGGTGCTCGTTCCACTGAACTAAATTTCATCGAAATGTCTCGAAAAATGCAGTCCGGTGGGCACTAAAGTGTCTTTGCAGACATTGTACGAACCGACATTCAAGAAACGACTCTGAATTCGCCGATAGGCGAGTTCCATCTCAAATCCTTCATGGTATCGTATGGGCTATCCGTATCATAAGTGGTGTAGGATATAAAAACACAGTCCAAAGAAAAAAAACAGGTAGAGCTACGAAAAAAAGAGCGAAGGTTTCGAACAAGTTAATACTTTGCACAGGGCAATGATGTTATCTGACGTAAGGTCTAAGGCTTTTTTCTTTTTTATTTTCTTATGATTAGTTTGATATACCTAGACGTCCAAATGGGAAAATGTAGAGGCCGGAGTAGAGCTTGTTCGAGGGTGATATTCAATTTTAGATTGATAGTTCTCGTTATTGAGCAACTTTTAACGCGTAGTGAGTTCATGGTATTTAGAAACACTATCCGCTCGTTTGCAGACGACAGCATCTTGTATCGCATGTATTCCTTCAGTAAGGGGCCATGCAGCAATGAGATATAGAGCAAATGCTGCGCTGTGAATGGCGCACTGAATTGGAACTTTTATCCAAATGGGGTCAGGCTAAGATAGGGTAAGATTTAACGCCACCAGAACTCAAAGCTGTCTCCGTAAATGAGCGCACAAGAAAAGTAATGAACAACCTCCCTCTTTTGGTGGCGTCTATTTATAGGAATAGGCAACGTTTAATCTTTTGGGCGTGAGAGTGCAAAACGATGTTCGTTGGACAGGACAGGTGTTCGAAGTGTCGAAAGGCAAAGCCACGGGCTTAAGTTTTTTAAAGCGCTGCAAAAAATACTTCCCTGCATCCAATTTTCGTACAATGTACACCACCTTAAGAGCATAACTCGCTTGTGTTGGCGGAAGCTTCCAAACTTTCCTTTGAGACCCTCAATCCCATAGAAGTAAGACGTCAGACAATCATGGGCAGCGAATATATTTCCAAAATCCTCGATACCACCTACCAGCCATATCTGAGGTCTTCGTTCTCAACACGATTGTTCATAAACATTACTACTTCTATTGCTTTAAACGTTCCTGACGACCATCATACCCGCACAGTGGTAATAACGAGACATAGAAGACAAGCCAGTTATTTTAAGTAAAGTTTTGAGAAAAATAAATTCATATCGATATTAAACAAGAACAATCAACAAACTTGATGTCTGTGATGGTGGATACAATAACAACAAGTAAATGATATATTTAGCAACAGCTTTCACTTCTTACTACTTTCAAAGTATTGAAGTTTCAAACAATAGTTACATTAAATCAAATAAGCTTACGTTTATTAAGGTTTTGTAGAAAAGAACAATTGAATTTTATTTTTGTGAGTAAAATCATCAAATATCATTATGAGACAAAAGAAGGAAAAGACGGATCTTGAAGTCTTTACATGAATTCCAAAAAAGAGGCAAGTGAAAACATTATAGCCGGCACAGAC